TTCTTGCTTTTTCTCAACTTTTATTTTGGCGGAAACGCGCAGGAAGACCTCAATGCTTCCTTTTGTCGACTTTGTCGACATTATAAATGAGTCTCATTACGAATACGTCGCATTGCCACGTGCCTTGTAAAAATAATCATAATAATCATAACCTGAGTTGGAGAATAGGGAACCCACACTGGGAGGCTGCTACTGGAATTACACCGCTAGATCCTGGTCTCAGCATCGGCCTCCCACAGACACTGAAATTAGTGCTGCACGCAGACCACGTGTGTTGGTATTTGTGTTATAATATGTGACGCATTAAAGAGCACTTGTGGTGTTTTGCCGACAAACAGCGCTGTATGGCTTGGTTTGTTGTGAGGGTGGCACAGTGAACTGTGGCACACCACAAACAGAGGCCATAGAGAGTTCATTTCTCCCTGCCACACACTCTTTCACACACTGGCAAGCCACAAACCTCAGAAATCATTTACCTGGCAAGATAAACTTTCTGTCTGGATAGATAAATGACGGCAAATATTTATGTGCTTTCTTGAGAATTTCACTCTCTTATTGTTTTTATGGGTGAACTATCCCTTTAAGCTGTACAGTTATTGATAAAATGCTATATGGACTAATTCATAAAAGTATATGCTGCATTACATTTTATCAACACTCATATGTATATAACTGTTCCTGGACTGTCAGATTATACTGAATAACATGTAGTAACAAGCTCAAAACAGACGTCTGCATGAGCCAGGCCCTGTGACCTGACCTAACCTGAAGTTGACTGAAATTTAATTTATCGGTGACAAATTTCAAGACCGAACCAATTTTGAACCTGCAGTGACTCAGTTTTTTTTTTAAATTTCCTTTGAGAGTGAGTGAACCTAGATTAAAATCTTGATGCACAGATTCTCACAGGTGTGGTTTTGCAATGCTTTTGCTTTGACTCAGCGATGACGTTTGTGCTTGTGCACAAAAAGTATGCTTAACATAAAATATTTAGAAAATATATATTTTTAAATCGACTCAAAACCTGACGGTTCACCAATTTTGTTTGGTCTCAAAGTAATTTTTGTGAAAAAAATAAATAAATCAGGTCACGTGTACCTTTGCACAGTGCAATTTTGTGGGTGAAATCATTTCAGTGGGAATATGTGTGATCAGGAATTACACATGAGGGTGGAAAAATTTTCCCTCATGGATTTCACATTGGGTTCAAGTTTGGTGATCAAATTTGCCTTGTTGACCAGTAGAAGAGCTGCTTGGTTTGGAGGTGTGTGCTTCTGTGTGAGAAGTGTGTTGTTTTCATTAATTGACATAAGACTTTCTTTGCCTGCAAAATTCCCTCATGTGACTGTGCCAACCAAAAGACAATAATAACTTGTCTTAAACCAAAGTTAAAGTTAATTGTTTTATTGTCTTTTCTTAGGGATGCACCGAAATGAAAATTCTTGGCCGAAGCCGAAACCGAACAAAATGAAACACTGGGCCGAAGGCCGAATACCGAACAAGGTTTTTCGGGGGGGTTTTCCCCATGTATTTTACCAATTTTTTTCACCATTACACAAATTAAATGTGCAAAATGTGCTGTTTACTGTTTTGTCTTGCTTTTCAAAGAAAAAATATATTACAAAACAACAATTTAAAAGTATTTAACACTGAACATTTTTTAACATTCTAGCAGACATTATACCAACAAAGCACAATTTAACTTAAAATTAAAATGTTAAAATAAATGTATTAACAGAGCTGTTGAAATTATTATCATTATTATTGTCTTACTTTTTTATTTTATTTTACAGAACAACAGTAAAATTACAATACTAACATTTATGAATGTTTATGGAGTTATTGCTTTTTCTCAACTTTTATTTTGTTGGAAACGCAGGAAGACCTTAATGCTTCCTTTTGTCGACAACAGCAGATTTATAAATGAGTCTCATTACGAATACGTCGCATTGCCACGTGCCTTGTAAAAATAATCATAAAAATGTGACTGAGCAACTGACGAGTAACACTGTTACAGCGTTTACATTAGTGATGGAAATTTTGATTCTTTCAAGAGATTCGTTCATTTTCAGTTCGTTCACCAAAATGATTCGTTCAGTGACCATTTCTTCATATTATATAAATACGCCAGCAGGTGGCGAAAAAGAGTGTCTTATCTGTTATGTCTTAAGTCAACGAACGTATTCACTTATTACAAAAAACTGATTTGGCTTTTGAATAATTTCGGTTACCGAATATTCGGTGCATCCCTATCTTTTAATAATACAATTAGTACAATAATGTACAAGTACTGTATGTGAGTTAGGGCTGTGTGATTAATCGAAATCGTCATAAAATCGCGATTTGAGCGTGCACTATTTCGAAATCGCTTTATAGCATGATTTTCCACGCCCCCGACCTCCCGCAGTATGCTATCCGAACCAATCAGAATGCAGCGCGCCTAAATGGAGCACGAGAACAGAACAGACCGGGCGGGCATACAAACGTAACACCAGGTTCACACACTCTGTCTGTGGTGCGTATTTTTTCCCGCCCATGTTTATAACTAATTACATTTACTCCAATACTTTACACCTCTGCTGCACACAGTATCTAACCTGAAGCTCAGCCTATAGGCTGTGTTGTTTTCATCAACCTCTTCTGTTTTCCAGGCATCCTTCTGAAAGGCGCAAGGAAAAGTCCCGTGATGCAGCACGCTGCAGGCGCAGTAAAGAAACAGAAGTGTTCTATGAGCTGGCCCATCAGCTGCCGTTACCCCACAGCATCAGCTCCCACCTGGACAAAGCCTCCATCATGAGACTAGCTATCAGCTTCCTGCGCACACACAAACTTTTCAACTCAGGTATGAAGCTAAAACAAATTTATGTTCATTACATTTGTGATCTGTCATTAGGAGTCAAACTCCATTATATCTGTTTGTTTTCTTTTATTGTGAGTCAGTCGCATCCCATAAACCTGTACAATGAAGAAATTGTGAACTTTTTGAGTACACTGATTAGACTTGTTTCCGTTTCTGCCTGACTGTATTTTCTGCAATATTGAACTTAGTCAAACATACCTGCAGCTTTTATCAGATTGCCCTGTAATTGTGAAAAAAACTAAAAAACTATTGGATATGGGTCATCACCATGACAACTGGTTTACATATTGATGCAAAACTTTGTCTACATTATTGCCACATATACACTTCTGTTCAAAAGTTTGGGGTTTAACATAACTGTTTGCTCTTTTAATACATTTTAAAATGTTATTAATTCCCATGATGGCAAAGCAGAGTTTACAGCAGCCATTCAGTGTCACATGATCTTTCAGAAATCACTCTAATGCTGATTTGGTGCTTAAGAATAATTTCTCATTATTATCAATGCTGAAAACAGTTGTGGTGCTGAATATTTTTGTGGAAACCATGATACATTTTTTATGATTCTTTGATGAAAGTTAAATAGAACATAATTTATTTTATTTATAAATGATTTTTTTATTTACATTTTATTTATTTACATAATTTAAATTAACATTTTAAATGTCTTTACTGTCACGTTTGACCAAGTTAAAACTCCCTTGCTAAATAAAGTATTAGTTTCTTTTCAAAAATAAAAATCTCACTGACCACAAACTTTTAAACGGTAGTGTCCAAATCTTCATTTAGAAAGATGATTTATAAATAAAATAATGCTGTTTTATGCTAAAAATGCAAAAAGGTTTCAGGTTAGACTGTACTAATTATAAGTAGCTTTACATAAACAGAGTAAAGGTCTGTGGTGTGTCCTCATTTAGACAGCTAAGTAAACATGTTTGTGTCAGTGAAGTTGGGCTGGTTAGGTCCATGAGATGTCCTGTACTCCTCAATATACAATAAGAAATGCAGGAAGACAGACAAAGAGCATTGCGCATTGTTTCCAGACTCCATTCCTGACGCACATACATGTGTACAGTATGTGTGCATGTCTCTGAAAGAGAGAGAGAGACAATAAAAGAGAGACTATGAAAACAATGAAAAGGGAAGATATGGAATCTGTTGATGAAAATGTGTGTGGGTGATGTGGAAGTGGGGAAGATCGATGAACGTGGACGTGGAGAAAAAGGGAAAGAGGGAGATGACGAGGTGTGGGGGTAATTAGGGGCTGCTAGTGGTATTGTTTTCTGTGAACAGTGAATTATGATTTCTTCTCACACTCTTTTCTTAGCCACAACACTCTCTGCGATGGCACCGTACAGGCCTGTCTGTGATATTCGGTGTGTTGTATGTGTTTCTGAGTATTCTTTGTCATGGTTTGACCTTTGGTAGGCCCCGAGATTACAAAACCAGAACCTCTTTAAACAGATATGTCATTCGGTGAGGTGTGTGGGAACTGTAACTGCATAGTCATAGAATCATAATATTACTGATAGGTGTTAAAGAGGTTATGATTCTCATCTGAACCAAATGTTTGACCTCTCTGACATTTTGAACTTACCTCAAAGGAGTCATTGGTTTAACATTGAATACATCATATAATATCCTGAATTTCCAGCAAACATCCTTCTGGAGATATGAATCTTTGAACCCTCATTTTCAAATGGCCCAAAACAGATGAACCAAAGAGGTCTCCTGTCAAAATGAAAAATCACAACTGAAATCTCTTTAACAATTCATTTATGTTTTATCCTAGACAGCAGTAATATGAAATTGCAAATGGGGACTTTGCTTCTTGAGTCTTATTTTCAAATGGTCGTTTTCAACAGAAAGTCCCGCAAAGAAAAGTCCAACAGGGCCAGGTGTTTTTATTCTAATTTGTGCAATGGCAAAGCTGAATTTTCAGCAGCCATTACTCCAGTCTTCAATGTCCCATGTTGTTGATTTAGCACTTAATAAATATATATATTTTTTTATTATTATCAATGTTGAAAACAGTTGTGCTGCTTAATATTTTTGATGAATATAAAAGTTTAAAAGCATTTATTTCAAAAAAGAAATCATTTGTAACATTATAAATTATTTTACTGTCACTTTTGATCAATTAAATGCATCCTTGTCCTATAAAACTATTAATTTCTTTAAAAAAAATACAGACCTCAATCTTTTGAACAGTAGTGTATGTCCGTTTTTATTTCTACTAAGGAAATTTAGGAGAAACTTCTTAGCCAAAGTTATTGTTGAAACATAACTTCCATGAAAGAACATTAAAGAGCTGCCATTTGAGCAGGCTGTCAGAGAACATTGTTTACGACCAGAAAAGGCCTAAATGATTCTAATAGAGATGGACAGAGAATGGCAGAAAATTGCAAGTTCTTGGGTTTGGCTGAGAGCCAGAGGAGTAAGACATCACATTGAAGTATTAATAGCACCAGGACGAATGCTGCGGGGTTTGATGTGGGAGCACAGACAGGGACCACCTGCTGACACCCAAACGCACAATGCAGACACATAGTGCTGATGTCTGAGCGGGGTCAAAGCCTCAGCGCTCGGGCCCTTATTGCCTGATCTGAATGAGCAAGGGAGGAGGCCCTTATCTGCAGGGAAGCAGACATGAACCTCACAGCATGGAGCCTCGCTTTAATTATTTTCTCAAGTTGTTGATGCTTTTCATGGCATTGTGTACCTCAAACATCCTCTCTTTGCTGATCAGCTCAGTAGTGTTTTTATCCCATGTTGGTATGTGAATTTAATTAGATAAATAAGTCGTTTAACTGATTCTGAGCTGTTTACTTGAGGCTAAATGGTACAGGATATGAGTCTATGTTTGTGTAAGAGTGTGTGATTGTGCCTTTACTTTGGGTTTGAGAAGGTCCCTTGAGTTTGTCTTGATAATTTGCCAGTGTAAAATAACAAAAAAGAGCAAATTTGACACTGCACACATACTAAGTTGTCTTGTCTTTGGTCCCAGGCCGCACAGTCCAACAAACCCGGTCACAGGATGACAGCCAGATGGACAGTCTATATCTGAAGTCTCTGGAAGGCTTTGTCGCTGTGGTAACATCAGATGGAGACATGATATTCCTTTCAGAAAACGTCAGTAAATTTATGGGCCTTACGCAGGTGAGCCTCATCTCATTTCCTTTATTCTTTGAGAATAATTACAGAGAGAAAACATAAAAAGCCTTCTGTTACTTCATTTAAAGTGGCTGAGCATTCAACTTTTCTTCCCTTACAAAATGTTAATAGGTAGAACTGACAGGCCACAGCATCTTTGACTTCACGCACCCCTGCGATCATGAAGAAATCCGAGAGAATCTCAGTGTCAAATCAGGTGAGCGTCAGCTTGGAACAATTTTTCCCAGAAGTATGTTGATACAATTTTTTTATTTGGATATACAGTATACACTGTTCCCTTTAACACCAAAGTGGCAGAATCTCCCAGTCCTCTTTATCTCTGGATTTGCCATGGAGATGTCCTTATCTGAGAGCAATTATCACAGTCAGGATGTTACATTTTGTACATTCTCGTGGTGGTTCCTGTGGGGACAAGTCCCCCTCCTTTTCCAAGCCTCGCCCTATAGACTACAGTCCAGCCTGTGGTCCCTTCTGTGAAGACTTGAGGGCTATATTTTTGTTTGACCAATGAGTGTTCAGGACCTGTTTATAAATTTTTAGTTTTAATGTGTGCAAAAGCATTTTAGCATTTAAAAAATAAAAATAAAAATTTGATAATAAAAAATGTGATTGCAATTTAAATTGTGATTATAATTTAATTTAATCCATTAATTTCCGTTAATTAATTATATTGTGATCATATATCAATATAGCTAAATACTACTAATAATACATTGTTATTATTATATTGTTATTAAAAAATATAAGTGTATATATATAAAAATGATAAATATATTACTTTTGTATTAATTGTATTAAAACCATTTCACTGTAAATAAAAAAAAAAAAAATATATATATATATTTATATATATATATATATATATAGTCATATTTTTATAGTACAACTGTAAACCCTATCAACATGCATATAAACTTGACTAATCGATTCTCATAAATGAGGGGAATTGGTTTACTCAGTTTTTTTTTATTCTGTTTGTTTACTTTAATTAATTAGTTATTAGTTAATTAGTTTAATTTCAATTTTACAAAGAAAGAACACTCAGACAATAATATTCATAGCTTTAAAAAGCATGCGAGACTATAGCCAGGGCCTAATCAGGAATTCATTCAGCATTTGTATTCATTTCAGGCAATGGCAGGAATTCAGCAGACTTGATTTGAATAGTTTTGATGCTAAACATAGCTTGTGAATTTTTGTTTTCATGTCATTTTTGCACCAAATTTGGTGTGAACTTAGCCTTTACTCTGGCTCAGTAGTTTCTGAAAGTTACTATTTCTGTTGCTATCATGTAAGCAGTGTGTGCTTGTACACAGACACATACTCAGAATGAGAGTTAGGGGGCCTTTCCCCACAGCAAATCTTCCTCCTCCTCTTGTTTTATCTGTCTCTTACTGCCTGTATCTTTCACGAGCCGGTCACCTGACCTGTTTAGAGCTTTTGAGCGAGTGGCGTAACTTTCTTGCCATTTCATTGGTCGTTTGGAGATAATCCCTATGCAATAGTACAGAGAGCTCCATATACTGTAGTTAAGGTTTCAACAGACTGATTCAGTTGAACTTTGCACCTAGCGTCCACGACCCACTGACAGACCAAAGTCCTCTGAATGTGCTAGAAAAAAGCTTTATTGCATGCACAGTGGTCATTTATAGTAAATACATGATTTCTAAGCATATGTCTTACGAGTTGTTTGATTGACAGTACCTGTGTATGGCAGAAGAGGGAAAGACATGAGCACGGGCAGAGATTTCTTTATGAGAATGAAATGTACAGTCACCAATAGAGGTCGCACTGTCAACCTCAAATCAGCCAGCTGGAAGGTAAGAACGCATAAGCACGTCATACAACATGATGCAGTTACATGTGCTATCAAGTAAAATATGGTGTTGCTGCTCTGTCTGTCAGGTGCTGCATTGCACGGGGCATCTCCAAGTGTGCAGCAGCCGCCCCCCTCAAGTCCTCTGTGGGTTTTCGGAGCCACCCCTCACATGTGTCACTATGCTGTGTGCGCCGATCCCACACCCCTCAAATGTTGACACACCTCTCGACAGCAAGACGTTCATGAGCAGACACAGTATGGACATGAAGTTTATCTACTGTGATGAGAGGCAAGAGACTGTTCACTGATTTACATATATGTGCTTATATTGTATATGTGCTTGTTTATGTGCATGAACAGTGGGCCCATAAATATATAGACACAAATGGCAAAAAAAAAAAAGATGACAAATTTCATTTAATTAGATATAAAATATCTATACAAAATATCAAATGAAGGCATCTGCATGCAAATGATCCGTGAACTAACTCAACCTTTCTTTGAAAATTTTTGCAATGACAATTAACCAACCGGTGTCTTGGTGATTTAGTTTTATTTATTTCTAATTTTGAATAGGAAATGTATTTATTTTGTCATTTAAAAACTAATAAACTTCCCTTTTAGTTTATGCTGTCTTTAAAATAAAAGCCACTTGGTTTGGTATTTTGTTATATAATGGAAATATTTTATGAATTCTATGAAATTGCTTGATGAACACATGTAGTTTTCTTTCTTGTGCTGTTGTATTTCCTATTAAAACAAGAAGTTTGGACAGGATAAATGTTTGTTAAATCCATAGCTTTACATGTAAATGTGATTTACATGTTTTTATTATTACAATATAATTTATTTATTAGCCACAAGCTTTGTAAAACTCATTTTACTTTAGTTTACAGACATGAATCATGATTTGCTAGTTGCCAATCAATCGCAGGTGGTTTGAGGGGGAGGGACATTCTCACTCTAGAGAGCGTTTGATTGCACTAGAATCTGTGCAGTTCACGATGACTCATCAATATTTACGGTCTGTTTTTCTGGAAGATATTGTGTGTATATCTGCTAAAACAATTTTATACATTTAGATTTCATTTGAAGTCATTGTATATTTGGTAAACAAACAGTGTTTACCATTTTTTTCATTTTGTGCTTATGTCTGCGTAGGTAAGCAGCATTTGTGAGTTAATATGTGTGTTTCAAAGGTCACTATTGTGAACTCTTATCATAATACTGCTGTGCTACTGCCTGTATTGTTATCAGTGAGTGTGGTAAAGGAGAGTGTTTATGAGCTTTTCTCTTTAGATTAGCTTCATTTCTTGAAAGCTCATTAAGGGCACAATTGACTTCTCTTACATATCTATCATACGTAGTAAGGACATCATTAAAATAGCCCATGTGACATCGGTGGTTCAACCGTAATTTTTGGAACGACAAGAGTAATTAATGACAGAATATTCCTTTTTGGAACTATCTCTTTAAAAGACCATACTGGAACAGAAAAATGAGAGGCTATTCCAGGGTAACACTGAAGGTTCAGATATAACAAAAAACATAACAATTGCATGAGTTTGTATGGAGTATTCAACAGCACAAAAAATTATTTGGTGAAGATATTGAGCATTGCATCAAATTCCATTTTGATTAATAGACAAGCCCACATCTGTCTTGAATTTTGCACTCGCTAAAGTGCTTCAAAAACAGACAAGGACGTGGCCTTTGTCTTTTGGAGGCAGTGTGTTGATACATGAGAGCTGTTCTGTCTTTTAAACCAGCAAGTTGGAAAACAGACATTAAAGATAATGATCAGACAGAACAAGTACAAATGTTTTGCATGAGAGATTTATAGCTCCAATAAACAAGGGTCCCACTTGTAATAATTTGTTCTCACTAAGCTTAGCAGAGAGTTTACATTGGCTCCCAGCAGCACAAGTTCGATTGTTTTCACCAGATGTAATCGACAGTCATGAATCTTGGCTAATGATGTGGTTTAATTCAATCGCTTTTTGTTTTGACTGTTCCATTAGTTTTATTCTTGACCTGTCTTTGTGTTTCAGAGTAAGCAGCCTGATCGGGTATAGGCCAGAGGAACTTCTTGGCCGTTCGGTGTATGAGTTCTGCCATGCTTTGGATTCTGAAAGCTTGACGAAGAGCCACCAAAATCGTGAGTACCTGTTTACATCCAACAAACACAAATCCGGGAGGCACAAAAACACAAGTTGAGTTTCATGTGGTCTTTTTCTGTTTAGACTTGAACTAAACAGATTTGATTTGGAAATGCCTGTCTGAACAAAGCCATAGGGTAAACACATGTTCAGTTTTCTTAGTTTGCTTCGTTCTCCGTACTTCCATTTCATGCACTGGTGCAAACATACGAGAAACAACGCAGTAGCTCATTGTGTGAATATGTCAAGGTCTCAACCGTTTTGTCTAATTTACCTCGACTCCGTCCTGAAGTGACTCACGGTCTGGAATAGATCCATGCCTCTCATCTCTGTCCATGGGTAAACTACTTGTGTTCAAAACCTTGTAGACCTGAGGCGTTCCCATGGGCTTGATGACTGAGGGTAACAGATGTCCCGTCGGGCTCCAGGAATTGTTGAGGGATATTTATAAACTCAATGGTTGTTGCGTTGCATTATTTATTTACTTAACAGATGCTGTAGACTGTTTTCAGCCACTTTGCTTTTAAAATTGGTTTCCCAGGAACTTAAACCTACAGTATAGTTCTAAACTTAAAGACAGTTTGAAAAAAATCTACATTTGATACATTCTACATTTTGTAAATTGTACATTCTCTTTTATGTATGGAAGCCCATTTCTGTGCCAGAAAGAAAGAAAATAAAATAAAAGGGACAATTATTACATGTTAATGAGATAAAAAGTTGGAATAATGACATACAGCCATAATTATGACATAAAAAGTCAAAATTATTATTGACAAAAATGTACGTTTATGTCATATTAGTTTTTTATGTAGTTTTTTTAATCTTGGAAAAAAAAAATTCCCCCTCATAATAATGACATTTTATGTCATAATTTCAACTTTTTACATTAAGCCCAAGATCCCTGACCTTGGCTTTTATGAAAGACAAGATCTATCTATTGAAGAATTGATAGAAAAAGGCAGCCCAGATTGTACTTCCAATTTGAGGCCTTTTATTTAGTATTTTAATTAGTGATGCACCTATCATGATTTTTCATGGCCGATTCAGATTCCGTTTTTTATTTATTTATTTCATTTTTTTTAACTAGCAAATTGGCCAATTCTGATAATGGTTGCTATTTTTTTTTTTTTTTTAGAGCAAATTTATTTATTGTTTATTTAAAAATATCTGTAGGCATTTGAAATTAGAGGCAACAACTGCATTTCAATCATGATCCAAACAAAGGTGCTACACACATGTTGCATGAGCAGTTGTTTTTGAATTAGATTTACATGATTTAAAGCAAAAACAGAACGGTCTGACTTTAGCTTTGTGAAATTATGCTACATAAAAACATATCTGCATGAAACAAAAACAGCAGAAAGTCTGAATGAGACACATTAGCTCCCAAAAATAACAGAAAAATAATTACAAAAAAAATACAGTACAAAAAGTGGAGAAATTTAATTATTTTTGTACTTATTTTTCAGTTATTTTCTGGATCTACCGGGATAGTGATAAAGATCTACCAGTCGATCGCGATCAACGGTTTGGCAACCACTGATTTACATGAATTATATTTCCAGTGCATCTCAGGCATAAGCAATACATAAACCTTTTTATTGTAAAGGTGTACTGAGAATAGTTCCCTCACATGGACAACTTCCAGTTTCTTCTTAAATCACAAGATGATCCTACTGTATACAAAGGCTCCTGTCCAGTCTTGTTTTGAATGTGATTTTGTTTGTACAGAGGAAACTGATTTGATTGTTGTTGTCACATGAGGTATTGAGGCCAAGTAGATGGCCTGAATCCCATTATATACCCTTTGACTTCATCTGCAACAACCCAAAAGCTCTCAGATTTGCTTGTTCAGAATGGCCCACCTGATTAGCTAGTGCATTAGAGGCTAACAAGCCTTTGAAGTGTGCAGCATCTCTGATCTGGTTCCTCTGATGTCTTTAATCCAGATCAGCGCTCTGGTCTTCTTCACTGGCCTCTACCGGTAAAAATGACCTGGAGTATTACCTAATAGCAAGATCTTTTGATTTGAAAAATGTCTAAACTTACATGAGCTGCAGTAATGGACCTTATTCAAAGACAGCTACATTCTACAGCGCACATCCCAAATAATGTCAGACAAGGAAAGTTAAAGTTTGCATGATCAAATCATTCATTAGCCTCAAAATGCTGTGAAAACACAGATATTTTTGCTAGTGTTTTATTTACATCTTTTTATTTAATTAAATATGTATGTATAATTGTGAAAATTTTTTTAAAAATTGTCTAAAATGTTTTTTAAATGTAAAAATAATATTAAGTTTTTAAGCTCACCAGGGCTGCATTTATTCGATTTAAAAAAAAATGATATTGTGAAATATTATTACAATTTAAAATAAAGTTTTTGATAAAAAATATTTTTAAATGTAATTTATTCCTGTAATGGCAAACCTGAATTTTCAGCAGTTTTCAGTATCACATGATCCTTCAGAAATCATTCTAATTTCCTGATTTAACAAGAATTAAACAAAAACTACAAAATAATAATTATTAAATACTAATTTTAGATGCCTGACTAATGGCCTTTTTAATTTGATTAGCAATAAAGAAAAAATAAAGAAAATTTGTAAATGCTTTACATATACATTTATGCGTTTGGCATAAATGTTAGTGTATCTATTTTATTTTTGTTGCATTTAAAAATCGCTGTTTTCGTCTTCAGTTTGTAATAAGGGTCAAGTGGTGAGTGGCCAGTACAGAATGCTAGCCAAGCATGGGGGCTACGTTTGGGTGGAGACCCAGGCAACTGTCATCTATAACAATCGCAACTCCCAACCACAGTGCATCATCTGCATCAACTATGTCCTGAGGTACTGTATTAAATGAAACACTCAGAGATCCCTGTCACAGTTAATGCTGTTATGATATTCTTCTCATGCTGTCATTGTTTTTTAGTTCTGTTGAGGAGCAGTCTGTCATCTTCTCCCTGGATCAGACGGAGTCTCTGTTCAAGCCCTACCACATGTGTAGCATGGGAGAACTGTTCAGCCAGGGTAGAGCTTCCTCCGTTTCAGAGGCTGAGGACATTCTTTTCACTAAGCTCAAGGAGGAGCCTGAGGAGTTAGCTCAGTTAGCGCCCATGCCAGGCGATGCCATTATTGCCCTGGACTTTGGTCAGAGCGCCACCCGGCACTACTTCCACCATTCCCCCTACAATAGCTTCACCCTCTTCACATCCTCAACCCCTGATTACAAATCTACTCCCATCCTGCATGCATGAACTCTTGCTCCTTCCCTTGGCTCTCCTTAGTCTACCTCACAATCACAACCAATCACACACATACACTGCCCAGGTCATAAGCTGCAATGTTGCTGCAGACGTCGTTGTACTGTAGTTCAGTGGCACTGTAGCTTGGCTTTGCTGCAGGGTATGCAATATGTGACAACATAAAAGAAAGCTGAATCTATCTGCTCCGCAGCATATGGGCATCTTATGGCTTAGCGTTGGCTTTAGCATAAACGGTTTTGTATTATTAAAATGAATTTTTTTTGTTCCATTTTTAATAATAAAAGTAAATGTTATATTTCAACATCACCTGTGCTTTTGAAGGTTTACCAATGGCAGTAGGCAGTGTTTGTGTGTTTCTCCTCACAACAGGGCTATAATGGGTTTACTAATCTGTCTTTTCATCAAAATGCATGTCTTCACACATAAAACTACTGCATGGGATGGAAATCACCACCTTGCGATGCTTACAACAGTTCTATAATTGCTTTTGGGGTTTTTGAGGTTGTTTTTAACATCTTATTTTTATTTATGTAACCATCTATTCTCATGTAACTCTCACTTATGAAAATGAGCCAGATAGTAGTAGTGAGCATTAAACATTTGTACATTGTGTTGTTTAAGGTGTGTCTATCCACTGTTAGATTATCTTCCTTGGCTCTTTATGTAGTAACTCTATGAGATTGCATCTCGTTTCAGTAATTTTTATCCCACATGTTGAAGTGTGTTGACTTGTTACTGTCATGTGCATTTGCAGATAGGCCAGATTTTGAAGAACTGACTTTCTTCTCCAAGTCCACCAAGCTTCCTGTGGTGGGACCATCATGGGTTGTGGACACACCCCCTGATGGCAGTCTTGATAGAAAACTGTCCAACATGCCCTCCACCTTTACCAGACACCAGGTGCCTCCTGCAGGCACATGCACGCCCTGTTCCACACCCTGCTTGAGCGGCCGCAGCAGTTGTTCTACAGTGTGTCCCATCTCCATCTGGTCATATTTCAAAAACAGTAATTTAAGGCACTTTTGCACCGGAGGAACCTTTTTATAGTTTCTAGAACTATTGGCGGACGTTTTCGCTTTTTGGCATGTTCCCACCACAGGAACTAGGAGCGTATTTAGTTCTAGGAACTCCATTTGGGGGAACTAAATTAGCTTCTACTTCAGAGTAGGGTCTAAAACAGTTCTATAGGAACTATCAGTGATGTACGTATACGCTGATTGGCCAAACGCATATGAAACAACAGCTACCCGGCATTTTTAAAAAGCCATGTAAAAATATGCAACCAGGAAATCGGCCAGAGGGAGAAATTGGTTCTCTAGGAATGACCCTGCTGGCTAGTTCCTAGAACTACACGGTGCGAAAGTGCCTTTAGTTTTCATGGTCACTCATGACCTGTTCTCTGACCCTTTGAAAAAAATGTTGCTGTACCTTCTAGAAAGACTTCTATATTCAAACCAGCTCAATTTTTGGTTTCCTCCTGATATGATCTCTTTAAATAGAGATGCAATTAAGATTTATTTAACATTATGGTGTGTTGAAGTGGTTTAATGTGTTGTGATGTGTATGTCTGCAGCCTAGCAGTCCAGTAGATTACTGTGGCAGTGGAGAGTGTGATCTGAAGGTGGAGCTGACAGAGAGGCTTTTTGCCTCTGAATCTGTAGCCACAAATCCCACTTGCTCCCAGGTGAGTGTGGTACAATACAAGCAATTTAATCTGTAATAGATGAAATGCTATTTCAATTCTACCACAATTTTCTTTTCTTTTTTTCATTTAATTCGTAGTCTTTGTCTTTTGATGAAAAGAATGATTTAGACGCATTAGAATGATTTCTGAAGGATCATGGTACACTAAAGACTGCGTAATATCTACTGAAAAATTAGATTTGCCATCACAGGAATAAATAACATTTAAAAATATATTAAAATAGGAAAAAGTTACGTGAAATGGTCATAATATTTCACAATGCTATGGTCAAAAATAGCAGCCTTGTTAAGCATGGGAGACTTCTTAAAAACATTAAAAAAGCATTCCAAACCCAAACTTTTATATGGTAGTGTATAATGATAATTTTCAGATCTTTCCCCCCAATCCTGGGCATACAGGCTGGATTATTTGAACAAATTTGTTCTACATTTTCCTTCATCTAAAAATATGCTAGTATATTTTTAGTGCCTTTCAATATTATTTCATTCTCATCAAAAGTTTTAAGTAAATATTTGGTAATCTAATTGTGTGCAGTTGGACCTGAGCGATCTGGACCTGGAGACTCTTGCTCCATACATCCCAATGGATGGTGAGGACTTCCAGCTGCACCCCATCTGCCTGGAGGAGACAGCGCCTGACACAGGTCCAGGCCTGAGCACAGGCCTCCAGCACAGCTTCAGCAGTGTAGCTGACCTCTTCCAGCCCCTGGGTCCATTCCCTCTTGACAACAAAAGTAGCACTAACACATGTCCAGACACGGCTCATGTGCAGCCTTACCAAACCGCACCAAACGTCCCACTTTCCTCTAAGGAGGGTAGACAGAGTCTAAAGTGGCCCCCTGACCCACCCTTACAGTATGAACGTACAGATATTAGATGCATGGATGACCGAAGCACAGCAGATCCAGGACAAACATGCGATTTCAACGCTGCACTGCCACAGCTAAAGTGATTATCCTTCATTTACACGTGTGTTTTATTTTGCAATACATATACTGGGCATCAGTGATTAACTAGATTAGGATTTCCAAAAGGAAATAGATCTTTGCAAGAAAGTGAATTGTGTAACCTTTTGTGCAGGTAAAATGCTGCAGTCACTTTTCATTATGACAGTACCAGTAATCTTGTTTTCTGTCGTCTGTGTTTGAGGACGTCTTATAGTATATACACATAAATGACTGAAAATATGCAACAAAAAAAGTAAATAGAAGAAAAAAGAACACCACTTGCAAATTAGTGTGCAGATATGTTGTAGCTGCAGTCAAGGGGACAGCTGAACAGAGAATTTCAAACTTTTTGATGTCAAGGACAACCAAATATAAAAGCAGCTATATATTCTTATGTATAAAGGTCAAGTTTATATAGAACCTTATATAGAACCTTAAAAGCAACGTACGCTGACCATGGTGCTGCACAGCCAAAACATTAAAAATATCAACCAACAAATAAAAGTATTATTAAGACACATAGAATTTAAGATATTTAAAAACTAACTGTATAAAAGAGAAAGAAAATAGGAAAAGAGAAAAGAATAAAACAAAACATCACCAAACAAAGAAAACATTTTTAAAAAATGTGTTTTCATGTTAAGCAAAAGCCAGAGAAAAAAAGATATGTTTTAAGAGATATTTTAAAAGTAGATAATGTAGAGGGTGATCTGATGGATTAATCAGAACGTTTTAAGGAATATCAATGCATTGCTGTTCCTTTACATAAACTACATTTAAGTTGGTAAGATTTTTTTATGTTTTTTTATTCTCACCAAGGCTGCATTTATTTGTTCACAAATACAGTGGAAACAGAAGTATTGCAAAATATTTTTGTTACTATTTTCTGTTTTAACATATTAAAAAACAAATCCTGTGATGGCAATGCTGGATTTTCAGCAGTCATTTTTTTCAGGACTTTTTGTAACATTATTAATGTCCGTATTGTGACTTTTGATTAATTTAATGCATTCTTGCTGAATAAAAGTATTCATTTCTCATCAAAAAAAAAAACATACTGACCCAAAAATTTTGAACGGTAGTGTGCTATAACAAAGGTCATATTCATTCATTGATTTAATTTTTCTTGCTGTTTTCAGATTTTATGAGAGCTTTGCCCCTGTACAGAAAGGCAGGAATGTGGGTCGTATAACTCTCGTCAACAACTTTAAACGGAAGAGGCAATCAGAGTTCAGTTCATCATGCTCTTTCACTGATATTCCAAAGGTAATCTTTCAGATCTCACTGTAGACTAATGCAAATGAGTAAAGTTCACATAGTAATAACAAAGACTGAATATTAACATAACGTATGTTCAGCAGGTGGTAGCTCATCACAAGTCCGCAGATGGAATGCAGAAAAGGATGAAGACGATGAACGTCGACAGCTGCGCCTTTTCTGTCAGAAAGTCTCTCAGCACAAGTGTGCTAACAGGTACATCAACTCTCTCTTGAACATCTTTACTTGTTTTCTATTTTTTTCTATACTGAAATGTACACACTCCTTTGTTCCTTTTTGACAGATACATTTCCATGTATGCAAAATGGATTGGTTTCTCCTCACGGCTGCAGTCAGTCTCTCAAAGGGAGCTCAGAGGATCCCAAACAGCATTTCCCAGAGTCATTCTGCTCTCCCAGTAACAGACAATACAACATGAAGCCTCCACACAAACACACAGGTCAGTCTCTCCAGCCTTTCTATAATGCCGATTCTTATTATTATCAGTGTTGAAAACATTGTGCTGCTTAATATTTTTGTGGAAGCTTCGATACATTTCACGATTCTTTGATGAAAAGAAAGTTCAAAAGAACAGCATTTTTCGAAACGGTAAACTTTTGTGACATTACTGAAGTCTTTTCTGTCGATTTTGGTCAATTTAATATGTCCTTGTCAAATAAAAGTATTATTTCTTTAAAAGTGTGTCTTTTATTTTTGACAGGCATAATAAGTCAACTGTTGGGCCCATCATTTGACTCGTACTGTCTGCCAGAGTTGACACGATATGACTGTGAGGTAAACGTGCCTCTACAGGGAAGCCTGCATCTGCTTCAGGGCAGTGACCTCTTAAGAGCTTTGGACCAGACCACGTAGACCCAGAGCTTCTGTAGTGATCCATTCATCCAACTTTGTCTATATATGCTGTTATCTTTTACGCATGTATTATCAGTCTTTATTTAGACGTATTTGTACATTTTCCTTTAAGACGTGTAATATTTTAATATATATTTAAAAAATGTGTTTAGACGTACCACGTTCTGTGCTATCTCAAACTCTAATATTGCCCTGAGTCTTCAGATGCTAAGTGTTCTTAACATTTATGATCAGATTTAACAGATGTTTCACTGTTGCAAATTTATATTTCAACTAAAATAGAATATATACAATATATAATAATATACTACAAGTTTCATTTGTAACTTACTCATTCAGCTTGGAATACAACTACTGTGTTTGTATAAATCAAAGACAGTTAACTGTTTTCCCAAGCTATTGCCTTAAATATTTGCTTCGACACTGTACCAGCAACAAATGTGGCATAAAACTGTGTAGCTCAAAAACATGTCTGTTTTCCCATTTAGAACATTAGTATTGGAATCTGATTCCTCTACTTTTCACAATCATGACAAATGATGTATTAAATGTATAGTTTCTGTCATCTAAAGCACTTTATTTTGAAAGATGCAAATGGAAGACCAAACTGAAAAGCCCCAGTATAGTGGTATGTCTTTGCCATCTTCTCAGGCCCATCCAACACTAACCATTCCCTAAAATAACGCCCTTCTTCTTTCTTTGTGAACTGAACTGTAAATTTCGTATTTTATTTTCTTATACAAACATATCTATTGTGTCTACATTAGATGAGGTCTCTGTAGATCTCTGTAACACGTAAAAAAATGTTTGTATTTGGTGTTCTGAAGTGCCTTGGTACTCTGTCTTGTCTACCTAGCAGTAGACAGAGATGAATCTGTAGCTTTCTCTTTTACAGTACATATCTAATATATAGTAGTTTAAGGTTATGTGATTTTGTATAAAATTTTGTGATGTGTATCACCCTCTCATGATACTCTGGGGTTTCTGTGTGTTTCTTAACAAAGTATGTAAAGCTAATTTTATTGTATACGTTTGAGAGAGTCTGTGATTGTTTATTCTCAGGATAGTGGCTTAAAGTAACAAGTGTTCCATTTCCAGTCTTCCAGTCTTTCTTTGTAGCATTGAAAGATATGAAAGATTGCATTATGTCTAAAGGAAATTAAAACGTAAATGGTGCTACTTACAAATCATTCTCATCTTATTTTTCCCATCACCCTCCACTTTACTTAGAGCAAGGTTTTTTTTTTTTAGCTTTATTGTTGCAATAATAGGCTGGATAATGGGCCAGGGGTGCGTTTCCCAAAAGCATCGTTACCTAACTATGGTAGCTCCATTGAAATCTATTGGTAACGACGGAACTTGCGACCATAGTTGCTTTTGGGAAACGGACCCCTGATCAGTGAGCCTTATATAAGTAGAATTAGAATTAAATGAGTGATTATCAAAACTTATGGGAGTTCAAGAATTTTCAAGTAAGCGAAAAGAATCAGCAGATACAGAAAATTAACTTGTTTTAATGACAATTAGGCTACAGGAACATTCCGATCCTGGCCTCTGTATCCCACAAGATCATGATACTGTTGGCCACAAACAAATGCGTAGCGCCAAAACATACAAATGACCATAAAAGGAATAAATATTTAAACACTGAACAAGCAAACGCTTCCTATCAAATGCTTCTGGGAGTGGAAGGAACCTGAGAGCATTGACAAAACATAAATATACAGGCTACATGGACTTGTTAGGTTTTCATACATGGATCAAAGATCAAGGTGGGAATTCAGTGGGATAATCCGAGTAACAAATGTGATTACGATGTTTTGAATGTCGTGGGCATCCTTTTATTTAGATGTTGATCACCTCAGAAGGGTAACAGCATCCTGATGCTGCCTGGATGTCACAAAATTAAGGGGGAAAAAATGGATTTGGATGTGTGAAACTGGACGCATGATTTCTCATACAGATTTTTTATAGCTATGCTACACCCACAGAGAGTTATTCTCTTCAGAAATCAAAGAATTGTGTTATTGTGTTCACCTGTAACTGAGAAACAAAAAAGAGAGAAGAATTGCAATATCATGCAATTTTATAACTATTGACTATTGTTTTTCATGTTTCCAGCTATGCTTCAATCACAAAAGAAGCCATTGTGTTCAGTTGTATCTGAGAAAAACTATGGAAAAGAATAGAAATATTATCATCATTTTTAGACCAAGATACAGTCTGATTGCAAGAACACTGGCACACTTTCAGTAAGGAAGTGTCTACAAAGTAATGTGGTAAAATGTAAGCGATTTTGCTTAATATTACCCATATGAAGTAATCAATATGTATCCAGTAATTGTTCCAGTGTGACAAAAGATGTTTCATAAGCTTAATCATGTCACTGATGTAATCAGTTGCTAGATTGGGGTCAAACATAAATGTTGTGTAACAAGTTCCATGTGTTCCAATCTTTCTAGCTATTAATCGAAATAATCTGGGTAAACCAGATAAATCCTTTTAATTTATATGAACACCTAACCATATATATAAACTCCTAAACACCATAATTTTCTCTGCAATTAAATTAAATATTAATTGAGATTTGAAGCTTGAGCCATCACACTGAACATACAGCTTAAGGGTAGACATTTATTTTTCTATTTGTTTTTTATGTTTCCTCTAATACTTTAACATTTGTCTTACATTGTTATGGATTTCTTCTCTTACAGCAACCTTTGAACTCAGTTTATAACTGAATTGATGATTTAATCCCAGCCTATTAAATGCATGTGAGGACTATTCAAAGTTATATACTATATAATATTTTATGGTTATTTATCCGCTAAGTAGAGTAAATGAACATACAGTAATATTTTTCATGTGCAGTTTCATGTACACTTTCAGATACATTTTGTGCTCAATAAGAGTAAAGGTTAAAAATCAATTATTAAAAAAGGCATAAAGTATAATTGTTTTTAACTTTAATTTAATGTTCTCATTTGTTAAAGTTCTGTCTGTTCACATGAAACTTGTATCTAAGTGCATATAATATTATAAAATAACAGTAGTGAGACCGATAGACCACTATTTGTCAATCATGCTTATTTTTGCTATCAAATAAGTTTAGCAAATAAGCAAATAAGTAAATGCGTTTTTTCACGAAGGATGTGGATGGAAGCCAAGCAGCCTTATTCCCAATGGGATTACACACATCTTCAAGAGCCTCCCATAATGCACAGGGTCTCAATGGCAGACCATTATTTTCCATGGAGAAGGGAAACACAAACAGAAAGAGTCAATAGATCATTAGAATCTAGTGATGCCGCAATATAGTCACTCAGAATTACATACTGCAAAAAGTACAATATCTACCAATGAAAATTCTTTTATAGCAATATTAGAATTAAGGATTATGCATTTAAGAGTAAACTACATTGCGCATAACTGATCACAATGACCTTTGTGAAAAAAAGAAATATTTTCATGTTTATTTGTTTTTCTTAAGTCAAGTTAACTTAATGTTTAACATTACTGCACACAATTGAAATCAGCAGTTTGTTTATTAAGAGAAACATTGCATAAGACTGCTTACTTTGTCTCCCTGTTGTCAGCGTTCTGTTTGTTGAGAGGACAATACTTGAGTTATGATTTATTATTATTATCATCATCATCATAACTTTGCGTTATATAAGGATGGAGTGACACGGTGACCTTTTGGACAGTAGATGATTTCCATAGAGGAAGAATCTAAATAAAGGGTATTCAGAGTGCACCATTCTGTGAGCTTGTATATTAATACAATTAGTTTGATGGATGGAGAGAAAAAAACAAAACAATTTGAGCACTTTTAAAAGCGTATAGTTCATCCACAAATGAAAATTTGCTGAAAATGTTTTCCCTCTCAGGCCATCAGATGAATATGAGTTTTTTTCTTCACTGGAACATATAAAGAAACAAACTCATCTTGGATGGCCTGAGGCTGAGTAAAAAAATTTTATTAAATGTTCATTTTTTTGGAGAACTATTATTTTAAAATAGGGGTTAAATAGCTGTACTGTCACTGGTGGTCACAGGAGGTTTTCCGTGGCTCCGAATGGGCACATTTCTCAGTCCCAAATGGGTTTTGACACCTGACCTGTGCCCTTTCGCAGCAGCCTGACCTGCAGGAGACCCTTGTGCAGCTGCTACCTGAATACCAGAGAGGAAGAAGTGTAAGATTTCAGCTGAGATTTGTAAAAGAGGAACAAAACATTGCATTTGACAGTGCGACAGTCACTGTTTCGAGACCAGTGACTGTGAGGTATTGTCAATGTGTCCGCCAGGCAGATGCAATGAGCTTTACGCAAAAGCTCAAACCACATAACCACCATTTCCGGCAGTAAGGCACACGACTGGAGCTTTCTCGTGGGAACTTGTTTGACACTTTACCTCTTGACTTTTTCATATTCACACTTCTGTGAGTCTGTAGGCTATAGATGTGTAGCCTACATGCGCTACATAATGAAACCTCAACACGGTTCAAAACACCAGGATATTTATGGAAAACAATTATTTTATCAAAATCATTATCAATTCAGCATACAGACCTATAATATGCTGTGAGCTGCATTAAAAGGTTGTAAAATTACAGAGGGAATGCGGGAGGCGAAATGTGAGCGCAACTAAATGAAGGAAAATTGTGTATGAAAGTAGAATATCCATGTCAGGACAATTTAGCTCAGTGGGGTGTTTTTTCCCGCTGGTGTCAACGATTCAATTCCTTTTTTGACGTTTGCCTTCCATCTAGTGGCAAACACAGCCAAATGCCAGTTGTTCGAAATTGCTAATGTTTAATGTTTCCTCGTCAGTTAAATTAACTTTTTCTACAGTTGTATTATGAGCTTTCAAGTGGGCCATTGATGTTGAAAAGACATCAAATTGACATCAAAATTGACGTTAAAAAAAAACTGTTCAAATATGCAAATCAAACTAACGTCAAAAACTTGACATGACATTAATTTGATATAAATTAAACTTTAAACATATTGGCCCATATAGCCTAAATTAAACCAATTTTAGGGTAGGATTAACTTCCTACTTTCACCCAATCACAACTGGAAGAAATTGCCGTCCAAACTGAATTTCAAATGTTGTTGTTTTTTATTCAGTGCCACAAGAACAAGAGGTATGCTATTACAGTCATATTAATGACAACATTTATTTGCCAGTCCAAAAAAGTTAGGCTACATACTTTTCTGTTTTTCTTTTAAAAGTTTGTTTTCTTTTTCCGTTTGTTACAAAAGGTTTAGCCTATGTATAATTTAAAGTCATTTATAAAATGTAAGTTTTTTTTTTAGATAGATGTAGATAGCTAGATTTAGAATGTAAAAATAAATAAAACTAATAATTGCCTAATGGTTGTGTTCTTTAAATTCCAAAATGTCATACTGAAAATAAAAATGCACAGCATACACACCCCACACTTTTAAAAATAAAGGTTCTCGCAATGCCATAGAAGAACCTTTTTGTCTAAATGGTTCCATAAAGAACCTTTAACATCTGAAGAACCTTTCTGTTTCACAAAAGGTAATGGTTCTTCTATGGCATCGCTTGAAGAACCTTTTGAAGCACCTTTATTTTTAAGAGTCCAGTTTCTGTTAATATAGCCTAAATCTTTCCAAA